CTGATTCCTTGACAAGGCATGTGGATAGAATAGTCTATGGGGTAAATAGGGAGAACAAAATCAGATTATGCTACCCAGGGGTAGAGGTGGAAGATATGACTGACAGAGCAGGAGATATAATACAGGGGGCTAGCAGAGATGCAGTTTTTGTGGTGCATGTAGGAGATAATGATGTAGGGAAAGCTAGGTCAGAGGAGCTAATTGATAAGTACAAGTGGTTGATAAAGGCATTTAAAGAAAAAGGCCATAACTCAATTTTGTCAAGAATACTACCCAGAAATAACTGTGGGGATGAAGTTATAAGTAGGTACTAGGCTTAGGCTAGTATGTAAAGATAAGCATATTAGCTGGTTGGACTTGTGGGATTAATTCAGTGGGAGAAGGGAACCTTTTGGAATGTATGATTTACATTTAATAGAGTAGGGGCTTGCTTGTTTCCTAAGGCTATTAACTCAGCTTAAGGGAAGTTTTAAACTAGGACTAGACAGTGGTGAGGGCCAGGAAAAGCTAATTGCAAAAAGAATAAGAGGCAGAGAGTATAGAAGTAGTTATAAGGGAAGGCTTAGTTGTTACTATTGTATTGCTGGAAGTATAAGAAATAAAATAGACAACTTTAGAGCACTGGCAGGTTCATTTGTTTGCTTGTAATTAATTAAGCACAAAGCTACACAATGGGCTATCTGTGTTTTGCCCGCCACGGGTATCGAAACCCGGATTCTAGCGTTGTAAATCCGTAGACGTACCGCTGTGCCTCTGGGGGCAACACTGGTACGAATGGAGGATTTTGATATAATGGGAATAACTGAAACATGATTAAACATAGATGATTTTGATGAAAGAAATTTCTTTGAAATACAAGGTTAAAGGATATTTAACAGGGATAGATTATTAAAGAAGTGGGGAATGGCTTTGTATGTAAAATATGAGTTACATCCTCGTGAAGTTGAGGATATCAAAGATAATAGCAAGGAGATTGAATCCATTTAGGCTTCTATTAGTGGATATAAAGGGAAAAGGCTTTTAGTGGGAACTTGTTACAGACCACCAAATGATACTGATGAAATTAGTGAGAAACTTTACAAGGAGGTTAAGATTTCAGCTGTTAAGGAAGTCATAATTTTGAGTGATTTTAATTTCAGGCATATAGATTGGGAAATGCTAGAGTCAAACCATGAGGGAGAAAGGTTTATGGAATCTGTTCAAGATGGCTTTCTTCACCAATTAGTCAAGGAACCTACTAGAAACAATACTATATTAGATTTATTGTTAACTTCAAATATAGAAATGATCGAGATGGTGGAAACTGAGGAACATCTGGGTGCAAGTGATCATTTCTCTGTTAGGTTCAATGTTTTGCTCCATATGGAGATAAAGAATAATGATGTTTTGGTTACAAGTTTCGAAAAAGCAAATTTTGAAGGGATATGACAACAATTATCTTGTGAATTGGACAACTGAATTATTTGAAGATAGTAATCAGATGTGAAAATTTTTTAAATGTTTAAATATTCAAGGTAAACATATTCCTTATCGAAACAAAACGGTAGCTGCAAGTAAAAATCCAGGTTGCCTCACAAAGAGTATAAGAGATAAAACTAAAAAAAGGCATAATAAGTTTAAGAAATTTAAATTGACTGGTGTGACAGGAGATTTAGAAGATTAAGGTAAAACAGGAAATTAGGACATCAAAAAGATATATGAGAAAAGTTGGCTAAAAATGTAAAAATTAACAATAAGGATTTCTTTAAGTAAGGGTTACTAAATGTTAGGATTGGATGATAAAGAAAGGGTCGTATTTGATTATTATGAGATTGCTGGATTATTAAATTTTGCTTTTTCTTCGGTTTTTACTAACGAAGATTTAAGCAGTATTTCACATCTTGAACAGTTCATAGATGGAAATGAGATCAAACGAATTGACTGCATTAATTCTGAGCTTGAGCTGGTTAAGAAAAAATTGGGAAGTTTAATGAATGATAAGGCTACTGGGCCAGATAATATTTTCCCAAGGGTTTTGAAGGATGTTAAAAATTGGATGTGTGAGCCACTTGCTACTATTTTTTTTAATTCCTTGAATAGTGGGCAGGTACCAATGGATTGGAAGTTAGCTTATGTCACTCCTCTTTACATGGGAGGTGATGAAATTGTCCCAGTTATCATAGACCCATTAATCTTACATCAGTTATGGGAAACGTTTTAGAAAGTCTGATAAAAGATGTTTTGCAAAGTCATTTAACAAAGTTTAGAATTTAATTGGATAGCCAGTATGGTTTCACTAAGGGAAATTCTTGCCTTAAAAAATCTTT